CACTTTTGACTTACAGTAAAAGAACCTAAATATGATAATGGAACGCAATTAAATTCTCCAAGTGACCCCTGCGTTCCGCATTGCTCATGGTAAGTAGGTGCGTATACGTGTGACTCGAATGTAAATAGTCACGAGAGTCAGCGTTCTAACTCGTGAGTTTTCGCCCTTGTTCACCTCTGTCGGTGTAGCGCCCTAAACCCACAGGGATCTTTCGTCATACAAAACTATATTTGGACGTAAACTGTAAGAGAAAGTTGTGATAGTCTTTGGCTAATGTAATAGCCAAACATTATCGTTCCTTTTCTTAAAATGAACAGGCTGTTATTGTGTTATTAATGTTATAGTGTAGAATAACCTTATAAATTAAAAAAAATTTGACAACCAACGATACTTTTTATAAAGGCGGTTTTTTTAACTTACAATTTATAGACAGCATACCGTTATATGTTAAATGAATATTCTTAATGTTAGTACATCAAGAGGGCACGTAGACCAAATATCATTAACTTTCAACTGATTTGCAAAAAAAGGAAAACTTCCAATTAAGCATGATTAAAAATGAAAGTTACGTCCTAAGTCTACGTCATATTTCCTATGGTCCTACTGTTACTACCAAAAGGGGCATTTACAAAAATTGCTCTATACATTTGTACTATTACTCATACTATAATAAAAATTGCCGGGCGCGATAATATAGACAGAGATACTTTAGTTCTTTGGCAATATTCCACTCTCAAGTGAGTTACATTTAAACGATTTTGAATTATGTAAGTAACAAAACTGTTGGATCACAAAAAACTTTCTTTCAAATACTTCGCAAGAAAATAAATAAGATGGTTGAGCATATACGTGTGCTGTTTTATAAATAGATAAAATGCTTTGTTGCTTCATTATTTATCTAGTATCTTCATCCACGTGGGGTCTGTATACCAACGCACCATCTACGAAACACTAAATGAATTGTAGGGGAGACCTAGGAGAGTTGTGACAATTTTTACATAAGGGGCTCTATCTCGCTTAAGAAACATTCCACAGTTATGACTCATGTGAATTAGTTTAGCGCCATTCCTTCTGTTTCCAAAACCATCACTAAAATTAATTAAAGTATAATAGTTTCTGAAAAAAATAACAAAATTCAAGTCCACTCCCCTTGTCACAACTCTCCTACCACCGAGGTAAGTTGTGACAGGGTACCGAGGTAAGTTGTGACATCATTGTATTTAAGCTATAAGATATAAAAATACCATTACATACGACATAAATAATCAAGCACGTTTTTTTTTATCAAATCAGTACTTTAATAATAAATTTGACTTGGAAAACACACACTGAACATGTTTGCAAAAAGTTGTCCCAGTATTCTTGTGCATTGTACAAACTTAGTAGGATCGCGAATCAGTGCACGGTCCTTACAGCTTATCACGCGTACGTAGTTTCTACTGTTCGATACGGTTATATGTTATGATTATATTTGGGGATATTCGACTGATTCTGTAACTGCCTTTAAAGCCCAGAAAAAATGTGTTAGGAGCATATTTTATTAAACTAAATATTATGACCCTGCCATCAATCTATATATTCGAAGTTGGTATTTTTGTCAAACAGGATCAACAACTATTTGAAAATAAGACGAGATTGCATCATCGAGACAAATTGTGTACGATACCCTCTAAGACAGCTCAGTTGAACAAAAGTATCTTTTGTATGGCTCCAAAAATTTTTGATAAAATTCCAAAAACAATACGTAATCTGGATAATTGTAATGTTTTTAAAAGAAAACTTTATAAATTATTAGTAGCTAAAACATATTATAGTGTAAACGAGTATCTAGCTGACAGTACTTTGTAAATGTATAAATACGTAATGAATTAGTTGAATTTTTTACATAACATGTTATTGATTAGATTAGTTGACAATTACTAACCTACAAATATTGTATGCTTTTTAGGCAGATCACGGTGTAACTATTCAGTCCTTGCATCCAATATCTTTATATAACCTGCGATCAACAATAAAGATTGATTTGATTTGATTAATCATCTTTTAATACCTACCAACTAAAACAACATAGTATTAATATTAATACTACAATAATATGATTGATCTCAAAGCGATACAATATTTAGTTAATGAAAATATTATAATTACTTGTTATGAGAATATTCTCATCAGTATAAAATCTTAATCTAATCAGATTCACATTATGCCAAACGTAATGAAATTCGTCCCCAGTACAATCTAACTGTGCCTAGCCATTGCATTCCAGGCTTTGGACCCACTGATCATTCGATCTGCTGTCTGCATAGGCTTCAAGGCAAACCAAATAAAAGCAATTATTTTCTACATCTTCTTCATCACTTGTTCTATTCTTCTTATTAGTCTTCTTTGCTTTTTTAGGTTTCTTTTTTTTCTTCGCTTAAGACACGCTTCTTAACATTCTTAGATTTTCAGTCTCTCGTGTATAGTTATTTTGGTATTCTCAAAAAAATAAGTATGCGGTATTCCATTATACACCTTAAGTAGCTACTAACACACCAACAAACATCTACAGTTAATAAAAAATAATGTAAAAATAGCCCAGCAGAAATTTGGAGTAAGTAGGAGAGTTGTGACAGGCTGTCACAACTCTCCTAGGTGTTCAAAATGACGTCTTGGTCCGAATAATAATTCATATTTTCTAAACACGATGCGCATACAAAAAATCAGTGCCACGTATTGAGACTTAAATAACTACATAACTTAATAAAAAATAACACATCAATGCACATATACTAAGATATGATATATATTCAAATATATTTTGAAGAAAAACTTACTTTTCGTAATTTTTTGTACACTGACGATATATTTACGCAACTGTGCCACATGCACCGTCGACAGGTACTGAGTCGTGTAGCGCGTGTCGAGAACGACAAACAAGCGTTAATGCCATCTCGCTTACTATAATACGTAGAGAGAAATCCTCCTTGTCACAACTCACCTCTGTCACAACTCACCTAGGTCTCCCCTACGGGTAAGCACAATCAGCGCCATCTTACACTCGTATATTAATTACAATGGACAAGAATTTGAAAGAAGTAAGAAAGTCAATAACTAATTCTAGTTAATTCCAACTGTCCAACGGTTCTTACATACAAATTCTCGTCTGTTGGTTAAAATTATTTACTAAAGTTACTAGGAATGTGAATCATAAGGTGGAAACACATTTATGTGTAGGTAGTAAGTATTTTGTCGCGACAGAAAAATATAAGTATATCAATTACTGGTTGTTTCCCACGACTTCTCATGTAGCTCGGTGGCGTAGTGGATAAGCGCCGCGGCCCGCGATCGTTGTCGTTAAGCAACTTTCGCAAGGGTCGGTCACGGGGTGGATGACCAAATAATTATTATTTCGAGCTACTCCGTGCTTCGGAAGGCACGTTAGGCCGTTGGTCCCAGCTGCATTTGCAGTCGTTAATACCCTCCAATCTGCATTGAGCCAGCGTGGAGGGTCATGGCCCATCCTCCTTAACCATCCATAAGGAAAGCCTGAGCCCCTGCAGTGGGGACGTAAAAGGGCTGATGATGATGATGATGACTTCTCATGCGTCCATCTAAATTAGGTATAGCATATGTCGCAAGCATATGATGTAGATGAAAGAACTTTGGTAGAAAGTACATGATCGGATAATGATTCCCGAAGGTTACATCCTATAAACAAGCAAAGTTAGGTAAACTTTACCTCTTTATAATATTAGTATGTGTTTATAAAACTTATTGGTATATGAGGATCAGACACATAAGGGAGACTACTGCGATATATTTAAGTCTGCACTAAGGACATGATTGACTCCGAAATATAATATAAATATATCCTATTAATATTATAAATGTGAAAGTTTCTTTGTTTGGATGTTTGTTAGTCAATCACGCCGAAACTACTGAAAGGATTTTGATGAAATTTGGTATACAGATAGGGTATTAGCTGACTTAGATAATAGGATACTTTTTATCCCACTAAACATTTCCCTAGGGTCCACGCGGGCGAATCCGCTGGTGAAAGCTAGTATAATATAAATATAAAAAGCCTCGTTTGGCTTGGCGCCATTGACACGCAAACAAACGTTAAAATATGCAACACATTACTCCCGAAGTCCCAGGCAAAAAGAAGACAAAGGCATTAACAGTATTTAAATTATTTTCCGATTTCTACTTATCTGCAATGCGAAGTGATATTTTCACTTGCAAATTGAAAACGATACTTGATACAAGACTGTTGCAAAACACAAAGACGACCTCACGCCGGTTCCAATGTATCGCCATCTCGGAGGGTTCGATTCCCAGTAAGGTAAATGTAATAATTGAACTTTTATATATTGTATCGGGTCTGGGTGTTCTGGTATCTTCGTTGTCTCGGATACTCCGCAATATGAGAGATTAGCTACTGATCTTGGAGTCTGGATAATTTGTGTTGTCTTGTTTTTATTTATTTATTGAATACTTTATATATTATTTTGGACTCGCATTTATTATAATATATTAAACCTATAAACAGAGACACGCGCTTCCGTACACTTGCTATCTTGCTCTAGCGAGTGATATCGCGCTCTATCTTCGCAACGTCTAATTAGTTACAGACGACATCACGTCACGTCACTATACAGTGGAAATTCTTCCAGATTTGTATGGTGTACTGTAAACTGTACATTTAGGATAAATTGCAAAATTAGAATCATTATGAATGTAGAATTCGACTTTTAATTCAAATGTTAAAAAATCTTCACAAAAAGGTTAAAACTTCATTAATAAATGTTTTTAATGAAAAAAACAATTTTAAATAAAAATATTTGGTCCTCGGTTATCTCAGTACTGTATTGCGAAAGGTAAAGGATTCTAGTCCCACATAAGGGTACCTGGGGTGGTGGGTTTTTAAGGATTTTTAATTAAAAATATTTATCAATATAGCATTGTGAATGGAAAATAGATCAATTTTAATAATTCATAAATGTTTCTATTATTTTATGGATTTTATTAATAGAAAACATAAAAAAAATATTCTTAGTTACTAGTTCTTATTCTAAACACTCTTATTCAAATGCATTGTCTCTAGTCAAATATCTTTCTTCAAAAAACTTATGCAGTTTCCTTTTCTTTGTACCATTTTCATTAGGTGAAGTAAAAAATGAACTAATCGGTTTTGTATTTGCTTTCTTAGTCTGTCCATCATCATCCACATCTTCAAATATGCAATTAGCTGCTTTTTCTTGTAGCATAACTTCTGCTGTTGACCAACTAAACCTAACCAATAAAGGATATCCAAAAATTTTGTCGATTTGATCTCTGATGAACTTCTTCGTCAGGGGATCTGGAATTAACAAATAAAGCTCCAATATCGCATAATAATTAAAGAATATCGGTTAATACAATTGCACATTTATATTTTTTTTAGGATCATATAGGTGATTCCTTCGCCTATAGCATTTATTTTAGAACACAAGCCAACAAAGACCCAAAAATTATCAGTGTTTCATTAGTATTAAAATAGATGTTTTGCGTTACTTAAACGCACAGAACACAGAAAGACGCTAGAAGGGCCTTGTGGGCGTGGCAGTGTAGCCACGATCCTGGACAAATGTACAGGATCATGACTTCACCACGCGATTGCGATGTTTAGTCATTTACGAACGCGCGCGCTGTAAGTACTGTAAAACACGATACTAAAAGTGTTAAAAATGCCGACTTGCGCAGTTATTAATTGCAAAACAAGAAGCCCATCCTCAACTAGGTCCAAAGAAAGGATTCCTTTTCATTAGTGAGTAGAACACTTCTCAAATTTAGTATTTTTAGTCGAAATTCGTGAAATGTTATCAAAAAAATATACATTGCTGAAGAAGTGCGCATATTTATTACATTGCGTCGTACTAAGCACGTAATGTAAAGAACATCGCGAAATCGCCGTTATATATTCTTAATATTGTAACAGAAAATTTGTTTTATTTTTTTTATTTTGAACCATTAACAACAATACTTTTTAAATCATCGGAATCCGTTCAGGATAAGTTCCAATAGCATTTATTGTACTGATAGTATTTTTTTATTTTGTATATATTTATTTACATTATATTGTTTGTCAATATTACTAGTTTCATTTAAGCGATGTTGCTGATCTCATCTGTTTACTTGATACGAAATCGAATAACGTATCGTAAAAAAAATACCTACTATTATTATTAATAAACAAACATATTTATATGCAAATAAATATTTAAGCTTGACTAGTACCGATTCAATGTTAGTTCATTAGTAATAAGTAATTTAAATATTTCTTATTGAATCAATCATCTAATTAAGAATTAATATCTAAAGAAAAAAGATAATGTCTTAATCAATACAATTCAATGTATATCCAAAATAATATAAAGAAATTATTACTCTAGTATCCTTTCAATAAATCGACTTGTTGTTTTTCAATATCGATAGTAAATAACTTTACGTCAATCACTAGTGTGATATGTCAAATTAAAATGGCTTTTACACGTTTATTGCGCACTATAGATGTCTGTTATGGTTGAGCGTGATTGGTTATAGTTATATTGGGGCGTTCAGATTGGCATGTTTGAATGTAAGTGTGTGCATATCTTTTGTATAATTGGTCTGATATTTTGTCTGATGTACGGCGGACTAAAAGTGGGGCAAGTCTGGCGACATCGGTTTTCGTACAAAGGATGCATGATTGCTTTTCTAACCTCTTTTCCGTATTCTGTGCTTAAACGGTTTCAGTGTAATAGATAACAGCATAATAGACAATGTTATTGAAAAATAAACAAAAATATAGAACAATTTTTTCTCTCTCAAAGACTTCTTTAACTTTTTTTTGAAGCTTTCGAATATAAAAAATTTCAAAGTCAATTAAAGGAACTTTTGTCTTATTCTAATAAAAAAACTTACCACCAGGATAACCACTCCCAAACTCCGTATAACTCATCTCCAGACCTTCTTGGAACTTCCAAACTTTAAGACTATGATCTCTAGTAACTTTGGCAACAATACTAGCTGCTGACACAATAGGGTAAATTGAGTCAGCCTTTTTTGCAACCTGCACAAAGTTTTTTGTGATATCTTTAGCGTTATATGAACAATCTTTAAAATAACATAAATGTAATGGCAATATACTAACTATAAGAAATAGATTGTCTATTTCTTTTGAACAAGTATATGTAATACTTGTTCAAAAGTGTTTTATGCAATTTGTTATTGTATTGTATAGTTTATTATGTATTATATATTTTTCTTTTTGTATATTTTTTTTCACATTACTAAAGTGTTACAAAATAATAATTTTATAAGTGAAACCATGTAATTGGTGAACAGTTATTGTTACAGTATCATGTATTAAACTTAATATCACTGTTTATTTTCCTAATAAAATAAAATAAATATTTTAATAGATTGTAGATACCTTGCCAATTCTGTGGCTACATAGACAACATCTTGGCATAATGTGCTGACATCTCATTCAAAAGTTGTCTTATTAAAATAAGTACTACCTATAAGAAATTAATTGCTATTATGTTTCAAACATTTTCACTTACAAAAATTTGCATTATTCCCAGAACAATGAAAAGTTGAAAAGATAACATATTATAGTACAGATATCAGAATTTCTATATAACTTACTGTGATTTTATAATCAGGAAATATTTCACTTAACCGAGCTTGATATTTTTCAGGGGGACCAACAGTATCCACATAGACTTCTGTTATATTAGCTCCACATTCTGCCACTTTTTTTATAAGATCTATAGCAGAGTTCATAGATACCTAGAACATTATAATAATAAGAAAATATGAATACATCAATTCTGTGGTGCGGGTGAAGAAGTTGATAAGTTGAGATTTTTGAGCCGTCCTTTTAATGGAAATAATCAAAACATATTCTAATACTTACATATAATAAGATTAATTATGATTGGTTGTCTTCATCAGTATCCCCCTTAACAATATCCAGATCATTGGTATTTAAATTTAAGTCTGTCTTTAAATTCTGTCTGTCTTTCAATTTAAATAAAAATCATGGAAAAATGTGAAATTCCTGAAGTAAAAGAGGTAATCATTTATTCAGATGAACACTCTGTTATTGAAAAAAACTCAGATGAAAATAATTTCCTGATCTCATATCCAAGAAAGAAGTCTTCATATCTGTTAAAAAATGTGCTGATTCAGGAAATAAATTATTTCGCAACCCATCAAATGGATGGTATTGTAAGGGCGCTTGAGCACTACACTGAATTTTCAGGACTGGCGGTCCGATTTTTTCCGGTCCGGAATGACATGAAAAACCCGGATGAGTAGCTTGTGCACTTGTCCGTTTTTTTCCTGATCGGAGCGGCGCAGTGTAGGGCAGCTCTCTTTGAAGCTACACGTCACTTACGCTAGGTACGATGAGATTTTTGGAACGTCGGTAATTGCGTTCGAAGACGTAGAAAGGTACCTAAATAATGACCTGATCATTTTACATAAACCATAATAAATTATGGCAAGACGAAAGCATTTTTTACTACTATTGGATGACTACTATCAGATGTAAAAATACCTTTACTAATTTAGAAACAGCATTATTCAATAGCTAAAAATATCTGTGACATTAGAGTAAAATTACTAATAATGGGTTAGTACTTGATGTTTAAATTTATAAACGTACTATGTTTTTTTTTCGAAGTTTTGTAAAAACAACTTTAAGCGATTACAGAGATAGACTAATCGGTGGCGCTATTTCGTAAACAAATTTAGTGCCATGTAAGCGGAGAATTAATATGCTAAACGAACTTTACGAGATCATTTGACTGTATTATATATAGGCATAATTTTATACGCGTGGTGTAGTTTCTTTGAGCAGAAATATTATTCCCTTAGAATACTTTTTTTTTTAAATTATTAATGACACAAACATACATTTAAAATTTTGTTAAATGCGAAAAAGACATTGAGTATCACTTAATTACTTTTGTTAATTCTTTATTATTGCTTCTGTTGTCAAATATTTATCTTTATTTATCAATTGTCTAAAAAAAATTTGATAATGACAAATTTCCAGGCAAACTTTCATCCCCTATTTTTTCACGATAAAATGTAGCCTATGCCCTTTCTTAAAGTTAAGTCTATTTACTATATTAATTTCCATTTAGATGACTTCAGTTGTTTAGGCGTCTAAGCGTAACAACACTTATTTATCTTACCTTAAGCTATCGATACTTTTAATACGATTCTAAAATCTAGCTAAGTATATAGCATTTTATAATCAAAAATAAATATTGATCGATAGTGCACAAGGGCCCTAAGTCTACTAAAAACACCTTTTCAAGCAAATTTCAAAAAAAAAGAGGAAAAACCTATGGAAATTGGAACTTAAAAGAATTACTTTCAAGTTGAACCAAATTTCCAAAGGGCCACTAACAATTAGTTCAGAGAAAATGAAATATTTAATAGACCTTGAATTAAGAAATGTTACTTTCTTTCCATGATTTTTATTTAAATTTAAAAATAGACAGACTTAAATTAAAGTTATCTGGATACTGATGAAGATGATCAATCTTAATCATCTTATTATATGTAAGTATAAAAATATGTTTTGATTTTTTTTTTTATTATAATCAACATTATGTGTGGATGCTGATAATTATATTGAATTGATGATAATTATGTTAAAGAAATTTTCAACAACTTTTTTGTTATAAAAGATATTATTTTTCATTATTATTTACCCCATAATACTTTATAACATATTCAGATAGTGAATAACTTGAAAACTTAGGAGTGTATAAATTAATAAGTCAAATATTATGATAAACAAAAGTTTTTCAGCAAACTTTAAAATACTTATTATTAGAGGTACAGAATACCCTAAAACCAAAGTACAAACATGTAATTTACAAAATAATGAATTTACCAAGTAGGTTTAAACTTTAAAATCACTGCACTTGTAAAAATAGTATTTTGGACATATCAACTTCTTCGTGCGTACCATACTGATAATAATCAGTTCTCTTTTTGAGTGAGTTAAATTAAATTTTTACCTCATTTAAAGAATGTTTTGCTCTTTTGTACATTGAATTTGAAATATAATTTGGAGATATAATTTCAGCAGCCCATCCCACATTATTAATTGCATCATTCTCAGTGAGCATTTTCAATAAAATTTCATCTCTTTTCTCCTCAGTTAATGCTTTAGAATCAGCACAGCCTAGGGATTCTAATATTTTCTTTTCTTTTATTGGACAGTAGGCAACACCATAAACCATAGGGCCTGGAAAAAATTGATTATTCTTAAAATTATTTAAAATTAATATCAAGGGATTTTGTCAGCAATGTCAGTTTTTTTTGGGATAAAACAGGATTTGTAAACCTTTTAAGTAAAAAAAAAAAATAATAGTATGCAGTTATTATCTATTTATTTGTCTTTTGAATAAAGTTTCCCATTGATAAAGTCCAATATAATATATTTTTAATGGAAAAACATATAACAATAACTGTCTGATTCACCCTGTAAGGCTGTAAAAAAATTGACTAGCATAAAGTGGAGGCAATGCCTGTCTCAAACAGAATATATGATGGCCTAAAAATCAGGACTTCTCTCCAAAATGGGTCAGCAGGAAATGGTGGTAGTCCTTCAACGAAATAATCATTTGTATTGAAAATATCAACTCACCTAACACAGGGCCTCTGCCTGCTTCATCTACTCCCAACATACATGGTTCTGATCTACATATTTTTGGCACATCGGAAGCATTGATAAAGTTTTTAGAATTGTTTTTAGACTTAATGAAATCCTGAAGTTCTTCCAAGGAGTTCATATTTGTTATTACTTCGTTTGCTGAAAAGATAGTTGAAACATAACGATTAACTAAACAAAATAAACTTCTCTTTAGTTGACAAGAAAATGAAGTAGAAAGCAGAAGAGTAGCAGTATTAAGAAGAAAAATGAAATCCCACCTGATCAGGGAAATATCAATTTATAATCACTAACACTGAAACTTAAATAGATTATATATATTGATAGTCAGACTATAGTTCTTCTTCTTCTATTATTATCTGCGCATTTCGCACAATTCTGCCAATGTCGAGTGGATAAATTAATTATTACATGTAAAATGAAATGAATGAAAGATGGCTTAAAAATCAGACTATAGTTACCGTAAGCTGAAAACTGACAGTCAAAATGCCACAAACTTGTGAGAATGTTATAGACACACTTATCATTTTCAATACATTCTTCCTCTTTTTATTGTATCATCTTTTTTAATTAATGGCTTATCTGAGCATTTCACACAATATTGTGTGCTACTATAACAAATCAAACATTCACAATTTTTTTTTCCGCCAAACGAATTGACAAATCGACATTGACAGTTGACACTGACATGACACTAGTGGTTTAAATTAGCGTCCAGCGTGTTAATTAACACACTTTTCCTTCTTAATGATTAACACTGCTAAGTAATAATTTTCGAAGGCACTAAGAATTTCACGCGTTAACACTATTCACGCGTAAACCCGATTCACGCGTAAACCCGATTCACGCGTGAAATTACAAAACGATTCAACTACGAAACGAACGAACGAAACGGGACATCGGCTGGCCGCGCAGTTATCGCGTGAGCGCGATCGTTGGCAGCCGTGTCATTGTTAATGCTCGGAGCATGCTAAGAAGGTAATTGTTACACGCGATCCTATCTCCTGTGTTTTAATAAAGCGATTATAAACGGTTGTTTAAAACAAATATATTGTGAGTAAATAATGTGAATAAAATATATGATAGCAAATGTAGATAGTAGATTCTTGTACATGAAATCAATGAATTTTAAATACGCCTATAATTGTATTAAATACAGTTCTAAGCCGGAAAAGTATGAAGGGGAGTTTATCGATTTTCTTTTAGTTTAGTAAGTACTGCAATAATTAATTTGAACTATCTAGACTAAATAATAAAGAGTTATTTTTTAATATAGCACGTAATCTGCTTAACGTACAACATAAAATAAATAACTTGTTACAAGTTTTAGCGTGCTACAAAATTTAACGTGTCTTAAGCACCCTTACGCTTCTTTGAATTAACGCGTTAATAAATTAGTGCCTTCATTAACACGTTAAAAAAATATCATTTTAGTCTTTAGCATGAGGGGCAAATGTTACTCACATCCGTAGGATACTCCATCTTTCCTAAAAAACACCCTACACGTGCCCCCTGGGTGGCGCCAAAGAGTAACAACGCTGAGTCTTGGGCGGCGGTCAACTAACCCGATCCAGCAGACCCAACACGTTTGTATATATTGGAGGTAGGAAGTGACCCCAACAACTCGGTCTTGCAGTCATGTCTCGTAAGGCTGAAGGTTTGACCTTAATTGTTTGAACCAAGAGGAAAAATACCTCTATAAAAAATTACCCTAATCCCAGTGGTGAGGAATGTGCCGAAGGAATGCATGGCTGGAAGGAGTCCACTTTATAGCACCAACCTCGTTGTAACAGACCAGCAACGTTGTATTGTGCTTTCTTACAGGAACGGCCGTCACCCTTTAAGTGGCCTTTTGATTCGTCCCAAATCGTGGGAACCAAATGAATACAGCAAGCCTTTCATTCAGGCCTCTTCAATAGACAGCGGTCTAGCTCACTAAGTGATGTACATTCTCACCTACTGAATACAAAACCACTGACCAACTCAGAGAAACATATAGTTGATCTAACTGGATCATTAGAACATCGACCAAGAACATTAGAAATTCACAAGATGACCAGGAACAACAACCACCTCCATGGCAACGAGTTCCAGCATCGAAAAAGCGCAAGATACGTGACCAATCACAATCGCCAACCTTCATGCAATCAAATAACCGATTTGCCAACCTTCCAGTAGACTCCTTGGATTCTAAAAACCAACCTAAGCAGCCAACCAAACCACCTCGCATCGTGTTGTACGGGATAGAGGACTTGAATGAACTAACAAAACTAATACAATCGGTTGTTCAACTTAGTGATTACAAATTCAAAATTATTAATAAAAACCTAATGCGCTTATCTTTAAATACTGTAGAAAACTACAAATTAGTGATAGACTTGATTCGGCGGAAGGGATTGATCGGACATACGTTCTCACAAAAGGATAAAGATTTCACCGAATAGTGATAAAAAACCTTCATCACACTACACCACATGATGCTATTATTCAAGAAATTGAAAAATGCGGCGAAAAAGTTAGAGGTGAAATAATCAACTGTCAATATAGGCCGGATAAAAAGCCGACCTTAACATTATTTGTTAATTTAGAACCCAGCAATAACAATAAACTGGTCAAATAAATTAAATATATTTACCATCATGTAAAAATTGAGGACCCACGCAAGAGTAAAACATTAGTTCAATGTGACCTTATAGATGTGTAAAATGCGGAGAGAGTCAAAAAACTTCTGACTGTCCCAAGAAAACACTTCAGCTAAATGCGCCCTCTGCTCCTGTGATCATCCCGCAAACTACAGAGGTTGTCAGGTATATAAAGAAATTCTCAGCCGTAAAATATACCTAATACTGAGCAAATGAAAAACAACACTAACAATGCAAATCCTTCCACACCTTGTAAAGATCTACTAACCAAGACACCTACGCTGAAGTTACCTCAGGTCGGCCCAGAAAACTGTCTAGCAACAATCAGGAACAAAAAGATGACTCTACTGATCAATTTAAGATTTTTGAACATCTCTTAACAAAACAGAATGAGAAAATTAAGCTCTTCCTTCAACAAATCAGTACTCTAGTGGGCCTACTGACTACAGTGATTACCAAGCTATCACCGTAAAAGAGCTCACGTTGAGGATTGCAAAGTGGAATAATAATGGACTGTCACCTAACATTCAAGAACTTGAGATTCTAATCCATACAAACAAACTCGATGTGGTTCTAATATCTAAAGCACATGCCACAGTGAGAAGTTCATTCCGTCTCAAAGGATTCATCATTTACTTCACTCCACATCCTGATAGTGGAGCTCATGTTGGATCCGCTATAATTATACAAGCGCATCTGAAGCCCACACCATTGGAATCTTTTGGAGCTCCCGTGTTGTGATTACAAGAGGGCGCGAACTCAAACGCTGCGTAGACAATAAGCACCTAAAAATATTTTCTACAGGTGAACCAACATATTGGCCTAGCGATCCTAGAAAATTGCCTGACCTCTTGGACTTCTTTGTGACCCACAGTGTAGCTGTAGTGACTCGCACACAAATATAGAGATTTGTTTGGACGGATCTTCAGATTACACACCGGCAATTCTAACGCTAAGTACAAATGTGATTTTTCGAGAGAAACCAGAATTTCTTACCAACCACCAAACAGATTGGGAAAGCTTTAAAAATTATCTTAACGAAAACATGAAGCTTAAGATATCGCTAAAAGACGCAGACGATGTCGAAGAGGCATGTAAGTACATAACCAACCTCATTCATGTGGCTGCCTGAGCTAATACGTCACAGAAAAATTTTAACTTGAAAAGTTCTGCTCGTTCTTCTGACATAAAGCAACTGATCATGGAGAAAAGACGTCTGAGAAGAAAATGGCATTTATCTCTCTTCCCGTCAGACAAATCAATCCTCAACAAAGCTGCTAAAGAATTAAAAATAAAATAGAGATCAAGAACTCTGTGAACGAAACCATCACCGAAAACATTCGCTGATTATCATCGACAGGCTGCAGTCAGCATTCGCTTTGGAAAGCTGCTTCAATCTTAGAGAGACCTCAACTTCCATGGCCTCCTATAAAATCTCCTATAACGACGACTATATGGGCAAGAACAGACTTGGGAAAAGCTGAAACATTTGCAGATTACTTGCCTAGAGTGTTCAAACCCAATGAGCAGCTATATTAGGCGCTCATATCAGGTCAAACAAGGCGAAGCTAGATTAAATCTTTACAAAATTGAGGCTGGTGTTCCCCAAGGGTGGGTCCTTGGACCAGTACTATATACTATATTTACACATGATCTACCGGTATTGGATAACATCACTGTTGCAACCTACGCTGACGACACTGCCTTCTTATCAACCGACACTGACCCTGGGGTAGCCAGCTATAACTTGCAAAAGCAGCTAGATGCTTTCTAAATGGTGGATACGCGCAAGTGCTAGTAAGTCTCAACATTTCACATTCGCTTTGAGGAAAGGCAATTGCGCCCCAGTCAAACTTGGAAATGATATTCTACCACATATTGACAATGTGAAATACTTAGGATTCCACCTTGACCGACGTTTGACCTGGAAGAATCACATAAAGAATAAAAGGAACGAAATTAATACAAAGTATCGAGGCTTACTCTGGCTGATGGAAAAGAACTCAGTACTGTCCGTCGACAACAAGCCGCTGATATATAATTCAGTTTTAAAACCGATCTGGACATATAGGATCCAACTATGGAGTGTGGCGAGAAAGTCAAATATACTATGTCTCCAACAAGTACAAAACAGCATACTGAGGGATATTGTAAATGCTCCCTGGTTCATATCGATGAAATCCATACATATCTGAACATGCCAACAGTGGCCGCTGAAATCAAATCGTATCACCCATCGAACGTGGTGAAAAGGTTGAAAAAAGACCACATAATTAGTGGAAGCGGTGATGGCCGCTTCACTAAACCAATCTCCATCTACATCAACAAATTAGCTTATGGTCTTGCAAACGATCGCAAATTGCATATATATAAAAAAAAGTCTTTAGCGTACATTAATTATTAAGTGTACATTAATGTTTTTTAGTCGTTTTGAACACCTCTTCATGACACCAACCACATGCGTTGGAATCCTAATAGTTTGCAGAAGGGTATTATGTTACTCTTTGATTATTGTTCTGTGATGTGTAGAGGTGTTACTAACTTCTTTAAAAATACATAGAATAACATATAATCACGATTCTAATCTAAAGTATTTAAAATATCGACTTAGGAAACTTTGTTAAAACACAGGAGATAGTATCGCGCGTAATAATTACCTATTTACCGTGCTCCGAGCATTAGCAATGACACATCTGCCAACGATCGCATTCACGCGTTAACTGCGCGGCCGGCCGCGGTCTAGTTTCGTTGGTTCGTTTGTTCATTGAATCGTTTTGGAATTTCAGTTTAAAGAACTTTATTCTCATAAGAAATTTACATTTCACTTATAATGAGATGAGTATGAATACAATAAAATTATATTCACGAATGAATGAATCGTGTTAACGCGTAAATTCTTAGCGCCTTCGCGTATACCTACTTAGCAGTGTTAATCGTTAAGAGAGAAAAGCGTGTTGATTAACACGCTGGACGCTAATTTAACCACCACTAGTGCTATGGGC